GCCAGCTACTCCCCAGCTGCCTTCCCGGGCAGGACTGGACAACCAGAGAGGTGGACCACGGCCACCGCTTCCCCCTGACCGTCCAGGCTCAGCCGCACCACCACCACCACCACCACCTTCCTCAGCTGTCAGAAACGGCTACCAGGATCCAGGTGATGGTAAGCCTCCCCCCAGTTTGCCTTTGACAGAGACTGTGTAGTCTTAATATGTCAAAAAAGGCATGAGATAAAGACTGTTTCTAGTGCGACTTTTGATTTCTGACCAACAGAGGTGTCATTTGGGTCTCAATTAACCCTTCCAAGTAAGAACAGAGTAAATGTACCACACGTAGAGCAGAACTGAAAAGTCACCAATACAGTCCCCAAAATAACCCTTTGAAAATTACCCTGAAAAAAGAAGGGGATTTTTTTTACTCTAATATGAATTCAAACTGTAACTACACTGACACTTTGGAAGTCAGAACAAGTTCGATGATGACTCAAAATCTGAAAGCTGAAAACAGATGAGGGAAGAGATTGTCAGAATGCTGCTGAAAATGTCAAGTATCTCTCTTTCTGCTAGTGTTTATTGAGTAGATGAGGTCCAAGATTGCTGTGTTTCAAAGATTCATCATGCTTTGCTTTTTAATTGTTTTCTATCTGCAAAGAACAGATAAATCCTTCAGCTAATTACAGAAGGCCAAAATTGGTATTTCTGACATTTATAAGGGTAGAAAAAGCAGACAGAAGATAAAACTGTAACTCACGTGTTTGAAACATCTTTGCACATCAGATCAGGCATGTGGGTCACAGACATTTTTTTCCTACATGAGGCATTTGCAGGGTTCAGAACCTGCAGCTCCTTTACACACTGGTTTCTGATTGCAACCATTGGGAGTAAACATAGAAAAACTGGTTCCCAGCAAATAACCACATGTACAAATGCCAGTCAAAACTTACTCAGCTGTTCATTACATTATGCAATAAAAGATAACAATATTGCAAGAAAGTTATAGTTGTAAAGTCCTGAAGCAAGCAAGTGAAGAAATTACAAAGCCCCCACTTTGTTCCTTAGACCTTGAAATTCAAGTGCAGAACAGAGCTCTGTGAACATTTCCTATTATTTCAATGAAGAAATTGATCAGTTGCTTATTTCTTTAGAATCTTATAGACTAAGTACATCAATAGGGCCCCTGTAGTCTAAAGAGATACAATTTCAACAGATGTGTTTTTTTCATTCTTGACACTAGTGTCAGGATTCTCTGTCATCATAAATTTTATCATAATGGCCCCAAATTTTCTTTTTCCAGTGTAAAAATTATGAAAGAAAAACACTGCTTATAGGTCAGTGTGCTTTTAATTATGCTTTTGAGCTCTGTGTTTCAATGAAGCACAAACATCAGCAAATCCTATACCAGGAGCAACATACTCTTCTGAAGTAGGAGACACTATGCACTTATGTGTGTTAGAAAAGCAGATCTATTATATGTGGAAGGGAGTGTAAGACTTACTTTAGTGGAATTATGGCCATTTTCCTCATCTGTGATTTTGCATTAAATTGGCTAAGTGATCAGTTAAAGTTAGTAAGAATTTTCATTCTCAAACTTAGAGTATCTTCTTCCCTGACTTCCCGACAGAATGCTGGTTCAGTACTCAGCTATGTAAGCATTTTGCAGTATAAACCATGCATTAAACATGATGTTCATGTCAGATTTACTTTCCTGAAGCTGTGTCACAAAACTAACAAGGACATTGCATGGGATATTTTTTTCAGATGAATGGGAAAGCAGATTTTCTTTTCATCCTATATCTGATTTGCCACCTCCAGAGCCATATGTACCCATGAACAGAAGTTATCCCAGTAAACTAGCAAGAAATGAAAGTAGAGGTAAGTTTATTCCACTTCTACTGTTGGAATTTTGGTGTGTTGTCCTAAAAGCAATGTGGATGGGGAAGAGACAGGATACTGAGGTTTCCAGACTTCTCAGACTAACAGTCTGGTCACCCTTTCTCACCACACAGGAGTAGCTAAATGCAGGTTTGCAGGCACAGGCCCTGTTAAACTTGTATTTGAGGGGGGAATTGGGTTTTTAACCAACTCTGCCATAATAGTCAACCTGCTCCTACAGGCAGCTAGAACTACAAGTTCCTCTAGGACTTCCTCCTCATTTCCCATCTAAATTCATGCACAACTCATTTTTTCTTGTGCCAGCACCATCCCTGAGTTTAGTTTTCCTCCCTTCTTGTGTATGAAACTCATAATATTTTTTAAGACAACAGTCATATCCTCTCAGCTTTTGTTTTTCTGGGCTGATTAAATCTGGATGTACTCTGCTTCCAAGCTGTGTTCTCTGATCATCAGGGCAGCTTATGTATACATTTCAGTTTGATTTTTGTCTTTTCCAATCCATGTTAGATGCTGTTCTAGTTCAGGCTTCAAACATGTCTTCTACAGCAGCACAAATATTTCCTATCTTCATTAGTGGTATTTTGTCTGATACACCCAAGGATCAATTTACTTCCTTTACAATCAGTGGTATTGGTGTCTCATAGTTATCCTGTAATCATCTGTACACTCAGATGTTTCTCTTCTGTTTCCAAATGAGGAGGGTTTGGTTTGAAGCGGAAGTTCCTGTTAAGTCTCTGACCCTACACTTTGCCCAGTTAGCTTTCATCCCATTTGTATTACTCCACAAAGAAAGGCAAAGTAATATATGCATTTTTTGTGTTTCCTTTCATGAGTTTGCTATGAAAATCTTCATATAAGGAAGAATGCGAGGAGCTTTGAAATGTTCTTGTATTTAGAGCTTGTCACTTTCACTGAAATTTGCACGTGTAGCACTGAGAAAGCATGTGTTTGCATAAAATACTAAGGCTGACAAGAGCTATCAGTCTGTTTTGAAATACATGAGCTTTCCAGACATTTGGGGTTAGCATTAGTTAAAAACTTTATTTTACAGTATTTGAAGTTCTGATGTTGTTTAATAAACTAACCAGAAACTCTATGAAGTTGGGGGGTTTTCTCTGTAAAACGGCTGAGCAAGAAAATCAGTAGATCTTTACCAGTTACCAAATTAATTGCTTAGATGTAAACTCCTACTTCAAAAGAAGGAGTACTCCCGGAGTAATACCAAAACCTTTCTTTCTCTTTTAGGTGGCTCTGTTCGAAAAGAAAGAGGTGCCCCCCCACTCCCACCTATACCAAGGTGAAATGGGTTCAGGCCCATCTTTGAGCGACATCTGTTTTTGAGTCTCCTTCGAGTCAGCTCTCCTGTCCACATCATTGGAAAGTTGTCTGTCTTGATTAATTTCCACTTTTGGCTTGTCAGCTGGAACAAACTTCAGTCTCTATTACAGAAGTAATAAATGCAGCTTCTGAACTATAGTTGCTCAAAGCTATGAATTTTTTTTGCTTACACTGCAGGCATTTGTGGACCATACACAACATATGTGTGTCCTGCTTACCGTGTCCAACCCTGTCACCTTGAGAGCTCCACGAGAGGTCTGGCTTTGAATTTGATAGAGCTTGGACAAAGCTGTTTCGTTCACTTTGGGTACAGTGGCTGCATTATTTGAATGATGAAGTATTTTATGTTTAGAAAACAACTGCTGGGGAAAAATGTGTAGCCAAGAGTTCCCTGGATCCTTCTTTGCCTGCCTAACTTGGCCTGTCTGTTCTGCAAGCCATAGACCTACTATATGGTGACTAAGAGTTCATCCTTAGCTTTTTCACTTCAACTTAGCCAAGAAAATCCTATTTTAAGCAATACATAGCACATCCTGCCTCAAGAATAGAGTGTGTCTGGCCTTGATTTTATCTGTGGGGAATCTTCCAAAGAAAAGCACAAGTGAAGAATTCATCTGCCTAAAAACGTATTTTTTTATCCCTCTCTTCCTTTTTTTTTAAAATAGTGTTATGGATTCCGTGACCTACTTCTTTCCTACTCTGATGTGGACCAATCCACAGTCATCCATGCTCTGGATTACTGTAATGCCCTCTACCTGATGCTGCCTGTGAAGAGTCCTTAGAAAGCAGTCTTGGTGCAAATGCAGCAAACGTTGTAGTTGCAGGCTCCTTCTGTAAGGCATCACAAATGCCAGTGCTCCACAGATTGCTTTCCAGTTGTTTCTTTGGTACAATTAATGACAGATTTTGACTTAAAAAGCTTTCTGGGGCTTGGGTCACAAGTCTTAGAGAGACTGTATCTGACTTGTGTTACGATAGAGCAGCTGAGGTAAAAAATGTGCCTAAGTGAAAGCCCTTTGATGTAGTGAAGGAGGCCTGGGGTTTGTGCATTCAAGTGAGAGCATCCAAAATTTACTACCTGCACTGGTTCAAGAGAAATGGGAAGATTTGTTCTTCTGAGTTTACCATGAAGCCTGTCCTTTCAAACTCTGCTGGAAGGAGTTTATGCAGAGAGCTGCAAGGCTTACATTAAGCGAAGAGAGAGTAAAGTATTCTAACATTGTAACTAGTGGTTAATATGCTTAATGGCTTTTGAATTTTGAATATGAGGAAAGAGTTGATTGTATGAGTGAATTTTGCAAAGTGGATCTAAATGCATATAAAATGCTTTTGGAAATTAGAGGAAGGTTATAATTCTGGATTTGAAATATTGCTGAATGATAGTTCTATGTTCATTGGACCTCTGAAGGTTAGTTCTGAAAAATTTCTCCTCAGTCTCATCAACAGTATGTGTCTTCAGTGTGCTCCTTGGGATCTGTACCAAGCAGGTGCCAGCAGCCATGCTTCACAGGGTGTTGCTCAGAAAAAAAACCCAACAAAACCCCCATAAAAACTGCTCATGAAAGTTAAGAAAATGTTTCTCTAGCATGGGAGACATGATCCTAAGCGCACTCTGCAGCTAGAATGAGGTCAGTCCTTGAAAATGTAGGGAATTTAGCCAAAGAGAGTCTGGACTCCACTGGCATGTGTGTGCCTAGGGCTTTCTGCCCTGTCTGAGAGCATGGAGGGGCAGATCCCCTTTCTGCTGGACAGGCACACTGAAGGGGATGAGACACAGTTAGATTTGGCCAGATCAAATTTCATTTGGTCTTTTCAGTGTTTGTTTACAAAATCTTGTTAGCTGTGATAGCATTTGATTATGTACCTGTTTTTTTACATTTTTATATGTAATGACCTATTTTAAGTTACTATTTATGGTCTTGAACCTGCAATTAAATGCGCAGGCGCAGGGATGTATCTACACCTCATTGCAGGATCGTGGCTGTAAGAGTTTCTTAAACAGATACTAGCAGGACCTCCATGTGACAGGTGCACCTTGGGATCAAACCTAGATCAATACTGAATTTGTATATGTATTTTATGGATGTCACTTAAACAAAGTGCCTGTCTCTTTGGGATATTATTATGTGAATAGAAGTCCAAATAAGATTTTCAGGATAATAACTTAAAGGATAAATTATTGTATTCGTGTTTTTAAACTGAAGCACTTATAATTTTCTAAAGAACAACATTTTAAATTTAAGAATACAATATTTTCAGTACCTTGACTTACCAAATCCTTATTAATATCCAAATATCTATGCAGCCAAAAAACCAACCCCAACCCTCCAGAAACTATACCTTTTTTGTAACTTACCTGCTTCCAGTGTGACTGTTTTACTTTAATAAGTCAATGAAAATGCTGCCCATTGTTCTGCCAACTCTCTGCATCATTCAAAATATCTCATATTTGATCTTTCAAGCAAGGTTCTCTGAACAGAAATCTGGACCACTACCAAAGACTTGGAAAACCAGCTTCAGTTTCACTTTAAAATGTGCTGTCTAAAAGGCCTTTAGTCAACAAGCCAAGAAACCTGAGCTGCCTAAGTTTTAGCACTTCTTTGTGCTCTAGAAACCTCTTCAGAATGGATGTTTGGCATACATGTGAAACAGCTTAACACTGCAGAAGAGGCATTTTTGTTCACCTAACAAGAACTTTTCCATTTATATCTTTTGCTATAGAAGTCCCTAGATATATTCCAGAACAGTGCAGCATTTTATCATTCAATATATTGCTTCATATATCAGTAGCTATTTACAATATGATCAGTATTAAAGTATTTATTTCACTATGAAGTGTTCAGAAAGAATAATACAAAACAGATTGAGTCAATGGTGCCTTATGACTTTTTTTAGTCAACTTCTCTGTGTCTCACTAGAAAAATTAATAGTCCATAGGTCAACAGTAGCATTATACAATGTTTGAACCAAGCCCTGCTGTTATGTGCTTGATCTGCTAACTTCAGGTGGATCTCAGTGTGTGGAGACACCATTGGATCCATATGTAGGTGAGGGGTAGGTGGGAAACTGGTTTAGCCTCACAATAAATTGTTGGTATTGTTCTGGAAATTGAAGCCTTTCCCAAAGCCAGTGCCCCATGCTGCTGCCCACACAGCCCAGCTGCCTTCAGCATGGTTTCATAGGTTATTACAGGACTAAATTTGATTCACTGCTTGCACATAAGGCTTGCTGGGTTTGTTTCAATGGCATTGTATTATAAACATTCACACCTCAAACTGTTCTTTTGTTATTACTAAGGCTAGCATTGCGTGACTACAGATGTTCATGTTCGTTTAATTCAACTCCATAAATAAAATGCAAATAACTTTTGTACCATGTGAAAATAATTTCTTTTCTATATCTTTGGAAGAAAAGCACATATTCTGTTTGGTATGACTTTCTGCACCAGCCATTGGGAGAAGAGGGCACAGTGATCAATGTTCAGAGTTGTTAAAGGAAACTCAGCTTGTGATTCACAAAGCGTTTATTTCTGTAAATGAAATAAATAAGGTCACAAAGCTCTTGTTTAGAAGCAGTATTTCCCAACACTAAAAGAATCATAAGAATTATTTTTTTTCTGCAAGACTGAACTGTTAAAGAAGTTCATTAAATTGTCACTTAAAAACCTGCACAGTAGTTTCTCTTTGCAGCCACAAGTGTTTACATGACATTTGTAGAAGTAGAATTGTCTTGGAGCAGAGGATGAAGGAACTAACTGCTACTGTGCTTCACATATATTGTAGCACATCAATTTTCTGTGCAGAAGTATGGAAATACAAAGGGTACTTTTTGCCTTGGAAGCAAAGAATGGAGTTGAGTGATCAAACTGGGGTCAAGTAGGATGTCAAATACTGAGAGACCTAGAGAGGACCCCTCAGCCACAGGATGCTGGAAAAAAGGAGATTGCTCAAGGAAATAAGAAACAATTGGCTGAATGTTTCTATCAATACTAGAGTACAAATTGTGATATAAAATGTGCATGTATGTAGCAGCACCTTGCAACAGTGTGAACACCCTTGTCACACAGTCAAGGGAGCCCAACCTGCTGTGGCGGTACATTGACTCTGTATAACACATACTGTATGAGCTTTAATCCTTCAAATGGGATTCACCAGAAAATAAGGAGAATCACCTAAGATACCTGGTAGCACATTAAGTGTAAGTTCATGAAATGGTTGTTCATGTACATTGGGAGAAAACGAGGATCTTGTAGGCTGTAAGATGGAAGTGTATTGGACCATTCAGTTAAAATATAAACCTGGAGCACTGGCAAAAAAGGGAGTGTTGGAGTAACTCAGCCACAAGCAGAGCATGTGTATATGGTCTCAGTGAGTGAGTATGCAGCAGGTAGGTAGGCAGACTAGAAAAGAAAAATGGAAACTGCATGTCTTAAAGAAAGGAGTAACCCTTCAGGATGCTGCCATTTGGAAATACAGTTTATCTGTGATAAATGTTCCTTAGTGTAAACTAATGCATGCAGAGGAAGATATCTGAGCTTGGACTTCCAAAGCCACACAAGAGAGAGAGAAATATAAGATATAGGCTTAGCAGAAAGTAACATGTTTTTATGAGATGCTTAAAGTTTGAGCTTTTTATAAAATATTAATCTAGTTCTGTGGATATTTTTTTTGCTTAACATTTATTTTGTTTGTGATTTTGTTCTCCCTATTTTCTGTCCTATACCAAATAAATTTTACTTTTATTTAATTGATGGTGCAGACTGTTACATTGAGACCAACCAGAGTTGCTTCTTTGGCAAAGACACACATTGGCTGTAGCAGGAGCATAGTAGTGAGCCTGGCAGGAGCCTGGGTGAGCTGTTCCCTCCCCTCCTGCCTGCATTGCACAGCAGCACAGCAGTAATGCTCAGAGGACTTTGGTCCTACACACAATGAAGATTAGAAACCTGCAGATAAGGAAAAATAATAAGTTTACTTTAGGATAAAGAATGATTGAAAA